AAACCTTACTTGTATCACACTTGACGTGGTTCATTGTTTGCTCATAACTGGAGTCACTTAATCATGCAGATTTATGCTACAAGCTTTTGTAGAATTGTACAGTAAGGAAGTTATTTCCCTTAACCAGGAAATTAACATTCTTAGAATTGACAAGACAGTTAACCCTGAGAGGTCAGCTAAATATCTACAGCGGATCTAAAATATTCATAATTAATTATAACTAGTTATGATTAATTATTCATATTTCCCATGTGCTGATTCGTTACAGCATGAAGCTAGAATATTCCTTTTTTTAAAGGAGAGACTCTTTTGATATATTGCGTGTTCAGATATTCATACAACAAACTATTCTGGGGGCCTTGAAAATTTTGTGAAAATGATCAAAAATGCTGATGGTGGCTGGCAACCTTTATTTATTATTTTTTTTTATTTTTTATAAATTCTGGCAGGGAAAGAGTTGTGAGAATAATGAGTTTCAGTGTTTAATAAAAACCTATTCCACACAGTAAAATATTCTGATATCCAAATACTTACTTGCTTTCCATAGAAATTGGTGTCACCCCTGAAGGAGGCTCTGGAACCGGTGAATGAAAACATGGGCAGTGGGACTGGGATTGGTACATTAACTCCAATCTATAAAAAAAGCAGTACATTAACAGACATCTCAGAGGTCAGCTGCGTTTGTCCTCTTGAGCAGTCATGTTCTCTGCATCTCACATATCTGACACACTCACACCCTGATGACGGTTAAGAGAACAGCATACCTGTCAGACACAAATGCATTTTTGTCTGCCGCAGAAAGCTGTATGCTTTCCTCACGCCGCTAGACACCATGTGGGAGAGACGGTTTGTAAATTCTATACATTACTGCTTCACGTTAGTCTCCCTGCTCAATGTAAACTTTTTCCAACCTTTTCAGAGTGTATTGAAGAGCATGCCCACTGAGCTTCAATGTCAATGTAGCAATTAAAGTCCCAAAATAGGACAGTTTAACAAAACTACAGTTTAAAATTTGTGTTAACCTTTACTAAATAGCAAGCAAAAGCAGGAGAATGATCCCAGTAGATTTAGTTTCTTTTTTCTGAGACGGGTTTCTTCATCTATGTGTCCTGTGGACTTTAAAAAATAAACTATTTAAAAAAAAAAAAAAAAACACATTTCACACTATCAGTGGTTTGTCTTAAAACGTACGTTCCACAGACAAACTGTCATTTTTATGAAAGTAAAGAAAATTCCCCCCAGAGTCTCACGTCCACCACATTATGTTTAATAGCATTCTGTGACAGAACTGACATTTCTGAAACAAAACGACCGATTTCTTCTCTTTTCTGTAACCTACATGCATGCAATTACATTATATTTTTGCATAAACTGACAGTTACAGCTTAACCTGAAATGACGCACAAAAATATGATTTTTTCATATTACATTGGGGGAAGAAGTTCTAAGCGCAGAAGTGATGGTAATATTTTTCACACAATAAGTATCAAAATGATTCATGATTATGACATTCTTTAGATTATCGTAGATTTAGTATTTAAAATTCATATTTTTCTGATGGATCTTCATATTTTTAAATAGTGATAAAACTGAAGAAGCAACAGATCTTTCTTCTATAATGACACATGTGAGTGAAACAAATTACCAAAAAAAAAAGAAAGTGGATTGGTTGTTCAATTTATTATGTTGTGTATTTTAAGGTTAAAAAAAAAAAACATTATTTTCCACATACTGTACATTATGGTTTCTCCTTTCTGAAACGCGCCGATTTTTACAAAGCTCATCGTTCTGAAAAGCGAGGTGTGCTTTGATTGGCCAGCTATCCAGTGCGTTGTGATTGGCCGAATACCTCAAGCGTGTGACGGAAATGTTATGCCCCTTACCATACGGTGATGCAGTGTCCCAGCGCGATGAGACAAAAACAATAAAACACATTATAAACGAGGCATTTGTTGCATCCAGTGGGGACATAATTACTGATTATAATGACTTATACTGTCTTTTTACGCGTTGCATCCATAGACTGTATAAAAACATGGACGTAGTGTCCGTGACGTCACCTGTAGATTTCCGAAGAGCGTTTTTGAAGCTCAAAAGTGGGCGGAGCCGGCCGTCGCCATCTTGGCAGTCACTCCCGGATAATCGAAAATGGGCAAAGAGGCGGAAGCGGGTTGGTGAAGCCACGCCCACCTAGCGCGACGGTGGTGACAGCAACGGCAATCCACCTGTCACTCAAGTGGCCACGCCCTTAATTATGCAGAACTTTAAGGCTTAATATAATTTAAACGGATGAGTTATAAAAAAAAATTCACCCCCTCACAGTTGTCATGAAGGGCAAAATTAGCTATATAGACCAAAATATTTTTTTGAACCAGGCTGTAAACATGTTTTTTTCTGCTGTAAAGTTGGGCATTTTAACAGGGAGTCTATGGGATTGACTCTCTTTTGCAGCCAGCCTCTAGCGGCCAGTCGATGAATTACAGCTTAAGTCACTTCCTTGTTGGCTTCAGGAGAGAGAGAGGGAGGTTGCATCGCGCCGCGTAAACATAAAACCATGTCTGCATTTGTGATCGGAGAAACGACAAACAACTAGCACTGCTCAAAACTCACGTTTGAATCGTCAGTGGCAAATCCTTCAAATATGAAAATGTACTTACAGTCTGAGAGTAAGCATTATTTGTCAGCATCATAGACTGTGGTCAGCATGCGTGCCGAAGGGGAAACAGGGGAACTGAATTCACTGGAACACCGGCATTGTAGGCTACTCTCCCAGGAAACAGTCCTCGTCCTCTGTAAAATGCGTTGCTCACATCTGAATATTTGGTTTAAACTGTTCTGGAACGGTGTTGTAAATACAACTTAACCACTGATTTCTAGTTGGTCTCTTTTGGAAGACCAAACAAAGAGTAATTTCGCTTTCACAACGAAACACACGACATGGCGGCAGCAGCAACAATACTACAGCAAGCATCAAAGTTACACTTCTTTCTTTGTGTGAATATTTGGCCGGCGTTTTGCAAATCTTTCCACACAGTGACGTAGACATGTGGGGGCGTGTTTAAACTAAGCGTTTTAGGAGGGCGTGGACGAGTCTTAACTTTTATTAAGAATATCTCTTTGAGTCTTTAGTCTTTGCAACTTTAGGGATCGTATCTATTCACAAACAGCTTATAGCAACACTCCAAAGAGAAAATAAAACTTGAAATCGCATCATATGACCCCTTTAACATCTCGGTTTAAATTTGTTCTAATAAAAATAAAAGCCTGAGACATAAACGTGTCTGAAGTTGAAGAAACTTGCACATCTTTGCTTTGAGAACAAGCTGCTGTTGGGCTTCAGCTGTATATGGAAAGTGTGAAACGATCAGCTCATTCTATTGAATGTGTTGACGAAGCAGTCGACACACAACTGAAAGCCACAATCATTTGTTTGTGTACCAGCTGAGAAAAGTAATGCCTGCAGAGAATAACTAAACAAAACATTTTGTTTTTGGGGTGGGGTGAGGCTGGAAACTGGCAGAGCTTCTTGAAATGTTTTTTTAAAAATGTGGTTGCAAAATTTGAGCCTTCTGGCCGAAGGTGACTCGTGAGGGAGTGGACAGAGAAAAATAAAAAAAATAATAAAGCAAAAGGAGGTTCTTGTGTGCAGGGGTTTCGGAGGCCAGCTCAGCACATGGCTCGAGCCGTGTACTCCAGCATGTGAATCGCAAACACACGGCAGAGCTTCTCGCCACGGGCAAACAAACCGGGTAAAGGGGCCTTTTTTGCATAACCACCATATCAACAGGTTGCGAGGGATCCCTTTTGAGTTTAATTTAAGACCTCGGGCTTTACCAGCAAAATATTTTGGCATAGTCCTGTTTTGATTAAAAAGCACATATTTGCTATGAACTATTTGTAGTGCTCATGTTTTCTGGTCACAGCTGTACATTTTCAAAGCTGTGGTAAACAAGGTAAGCCCAAATGGGGGGAAAAAAATATATACTGTTTTTACATACATTTTAAAGGAAGGCTTGTGCTACCATTAGTGTATATATGGCCGCTAAAGAGGCAACACTTACATCTAAACCATGCTTCTTGGCTTTGGGTCAGGGAGTGGCGCCAAGGGAATTTTACACATTTCATTTACATCACTTTCTAATATTTACTCTAGAGGTGTGCCTGGACCTCTTCACCTTCAATGGTCTTGTCAAGAGCCTACATGACATGTGGAGGTGCCTAATACAACATAAGTGAACATCAACATGTCTACACCGTCTATAAGGAGGCAGTTTTCCACAGTCGCAGACTGACCGAGGTCTCTCAAAGGTCTGACTCTTGCATGCACCCATCTCAAGTCACACAGATACCTTTTCAACACTGTTAGGGGCCGTTTTTCCATTCCAATGCGCTTTTCCATTGTTTTTCTATGTAAATGTGCATGATCGTTATGCCAGTGCCGATCCTAGCCTTCAGGGGGCTCTACGCAAAAATGTGTAGCTGGGGGGGGGGCGAATAAATGAACGAATAAATTAAATGCATTTGTCCGTGTTTCACTCCATCTCAAATCGCACTGCAGAAAGCACTTGAGAAACAAGTGTCTCTTCCTGCAGCTCGGTACGCTTTCAACTAATTTTTTTTTAGTCTCGAACAAGACTGTACGACATTCACATTACATGATTTGATTGATTTTTATGTAGAAAGGGCAACAGCGCACCGCATTAAAAGAAATGATCATTCATGTTTTCATAACCGCTGGCCAAATTAAAAAGCAAAACTAAAATTACATCATCTTTGAGAGCAAGGAGGCCCCCTGGTGTTTCGGGGGTCCTACGCAACGTGTGTATTTTGCGTATAGGGAGGAACGGCTCTGCGTTGCGCTCACAACGTCTCACGTTTTAGACACTGTGTCAAGTTAAAAGAAATTCAACTTTTACATGCAGTGCCGCTCATCGTGCTTCAAACAGATGTACTTATAGTGGCTGTGTCCGGATACACTGAATTATACACCATTTCTTTAAACGATCAAACTCTTTCTTTTTGAAGAATGATGTATTGGAAATGTGTATTATAAACCCAGCCCTGTTCATGTATAAAAAAAAATAAAATAAAAATAAAATAAAAAAACTCACCTGTCCAACATCAACTTCATGGGTGTATTTACGAGCCGCGGCACCGTTGGTGGTGAAGATGGCAGTACCGTTGCCGTATGGGTTCTTATTGACTATTTTGATGGCATCATCCAAGCTGTCGGCCTCCAGGACCACCAACACGGGTCCAAATATCTCCTCCTTATAACACTTCATGTCCGGCTGTAATTAAATTAGGACAAACAGCAAGTGTACAACATTACATGGCCTTTGCATGATATTGATAGTTCAAACTTACAGCAATTAAAGAGATTTACTCACTACCATGTTGTTGCAAACTTATGACTTTCTTTAGTCTATGGAATGCAAAATAAGATTTTACGAAAAACTGTTTTAGTCCACTTGAAAGTCATTTGGATCCAAAACAACCCCACTGGCTTTCACTATATGGATTAAAAAATGTGATACATTCTTAAAAGTATCTTCTTTTGTGTTTCGCAGAAGAAAGTCATACAGGTTTGGAATGACATGAGGCTTAGTAAGTGGGATTGTAGGTATTGTAGCTCTCACCGTGACATTGCTAACGATGGTTGGTCCTACGAAGTTCCCGTTTTCGTAACCCTTGACCTTCACATTCCTGCCATCAAGCAGCACCTTGGCACCCTCATCCACACCACTCCGAATAAGACCGTTCACTCGCTCTTTGGCCTGAGGTGAGATAAGAGGTCCCACATCAGCTCCTGGCTGGTCACCTTACAGAACAGACAAGAGAAGAAATAACAGAAAGATAAAGACATGGTTAAGAAGATAAGGAGCTTTTACAAAATGTACTCAAATCAAAACAATTACAATCTGACGACATGTTTTAGTCTGAACCGTCAGAATGGAAACGCATTCTGAAATCCTTAATTTTCATCACATGTGGCACCATGTTACAATTTCTGAATGAACGTACTATTCATTAAATATGTTAGTAATTCAGAGCACAACCTAGATGCACCAATTTGCTGAATTATTACTGTACTGTAGATGAGTTAGGTGGATAGTTGGCAGAAAAAGTAGCGGTTTCTCTTCCAAACAACAGTTTAGTTGGTTAACCAGAAGTTTAGACATCCTAAAATCTGAAGAAATGCTTTCTGTATCATTTGTTTTGTTGATTTTTGCTGAATAGAGCGAAAGACTTTCCTTTAATTTACCCCTTTTTACTGGGCTGTAATCAAAGGCATTGGTACTGACATATCCAAACACACATACAAACAAACATCCACACACACACAATTTTAGATACCCTGAGGCAGTATGTCTTTGAGGGCTGTTACAGGGTTTCAGAATAGCAGCTGCGGTTAAGCTTCTCTGATTACAATTTTCATCTGCAGATTTTTTTTTTCAAACATTTGATCGGCCCATCCTAATTTCTGGTCCCCTTTATACCACAAAATGTGCTTCTGCTTTGTGGCATGACCAAGACAAATAGTGCGTCTATCCTCTGGGTGAGCTGAACATGTTTTAAGTTGCTCTGGGAGTGGTGTGGTCATGAAGGCATGGGTGGTCTACGAAAAGGCCAAAAAAGAGGGATAAAAGAAACTGCATGAATTTGGAGAAACTCTACATAGAAAGGAACTGCGGGAAAAAATAGATTTTATTCAATGAATGTCATGGAAAAATAGTCTAAAGTGATATTTATGGTATATGTTTTCCTGGTATAGCATAGTGCATCTTAGTCTTGGTGGCCCCAGAAACGCAAATAACGGAACTGGTCAATATTGTGTCGCTGTGAGAAAATAGTGAAAACCCCAAAACAAATACTTCTTATTTGTTACCGAGAGCAAAATATTATATGGGACCCAACAGAACCATAGCCAATTGGCATATTCAATGTTTTGCAAAATCTCATTGGTTTAAAATTTTGTTGCATGCCTTTCGTCGTGACTAACTAGGACTATCGCACTAGGAATACTTACCTTTTTTTTTCGCATTTTGCTCCATCTAACAAACAGTTGAGCGTGCCAACCTTTGCAAGTGCTGATTTTGCTACATGCAACAAACCTAAGCGATATTCGATAACTCGTGTGGACATATTTTGGCCTTTATCGTGTTGCGCCTGACTAGGACACAGTGCTCCACAGCCCAAACCGGATCAGATTTGTGAGACACATAAAATGTGCAGTACTGGGGTACTTTAGAATCAGAACTGATAAATATAATAAAGCTTGAGTACCTGCATTGACACGGAGACCCTTTGCACGTTCAACCAGTTCAGGTAACCAGTTTCGTGCTTCTCCTACGAGGATAGCTGTGGAAAGTGCCATACATCTCTGACCTGCTGCTCCAAAAGCAGCACCAACCAACTGGTTTAGTGTGTTCTCTTTGTTGGCATCAGGCATCACCACGCCGTGATTCTTCGCCCCCTGGTGGACAGAAAATTAGATTGTAAGGAAGCAGCTCCACATTTTCACCAAACAACAAATTCTAACACACTGAGTGAAAATAGGCAAACTAAAAGCGGGGGAAGAAAATGTGATGGACCTCAGTTTACCATCTTGAAAACATATTTATAATAGACTGGCATAAGATCCAGAATCAAAATTTAATTTAATTTGCAAAGCTGCAATAATCTAGCAAGGATTGTGGTTGTGAAGGGGGCTGCTGTGGGGTTTCAGAAAATTGAGTTTATCTGCAGTGGGAGCAAAGGAGGTGAGATACGCTGTATTAAATACAAGGAACATGAATAATGAGTGCACATATTTTTCCAGTTTAACATACACTGCTGTTCATCATTTTAAGTCTGTCATGCTAACACTCAAAGCAATAAAGAATGGAAAGGAGTAATCTCCAATTTCCTAAATCTTGAGTCTAAAATTGCAGCCTCATTATGGAGGTCAAGAATGAACCAGAATGACACGGATTCATTTGTAACCAAATGCTGCCACCATCTGGCCATTGCAGTTGTGCTGAGAAACAGATACACAGAGCAATGGTAGGGAGGCTACATAGTTGGGAAAAAGTTGCTTGCTACTGGAAAAGATGCGCTGTTGAAAACAGAGTTACTGTCATGCTACTAAAAATATAGCATCACAACTTTTAGCTAATTACTCCCGTCCTGACCAATCTTTTCTACATAATGAAAGTGCATGAGGGGTATCAAACTTCAAAGAAGATAAAAAGACACTATATATAGATATACCCATTTTGTTAATGCAGTGCAGTTATTGACTGATGATCATTTCTGCTCCCGTGAAAGCTCTTCAACTGATCATTCATACTTGAGAACCAACAAGTCTCATTCATGAATGAATCATTTAGATGGGGGAACTTCTGGTTTTTTGTTACCAACATTTTTCCTAGTGTGCAGAACATCTAGATATACATGTGTTACAGCATGTGCATGATCACAACATCACTTCCTGGTATTCTTACAAGGATACCAAGCATTAGTAACCAGGTTTACGTTTGTGAGTTGGTCATGATTAGGCATACAGTAACTGGACACAAACAGAGCTGATTCTATCACACATTTGCGGTGCTTAAGCCTCCTTTATAAGGGTATTTACTGTAAACGCATCCTGTTACTAAAGGATGAGTCAAAATGATTGTCTGTAGTAACAGTCAGTATGGGTTGGTACATACTGCAGTCACTGGGTTGAAAATAACAGAATATTTCTTTTAATGTTCTACACTCTTAAATAACTACTACATTCAGTAATTAACTTAACATGGTACTAAATGCCCTCAATATTACTACAGAACTGTCTCGAGAGCAGATGGGGGAACTTCTGGTTTTTTGTTACCAACATTTTTCCTACAGTGTGCAGAACATCTAGATATACATGTGTTACAGCATGTGCATGATCACAACATCACTTCCTGGTATTCTTACAAGGATACCAAGCATTAGTAACCAGGTTTACGTTTGTGAGTTGGTCATGATTAGGCATACAGTAACTGGAAACAAACAGAGCTGATTCTATCACACATTTGCGCTGCTTAAGCCTCCTTTATAAGGGTATTTACTGTAAACGCATCCCGTTACTAAAGGATGAGTCAAAATGATTGTCTGTAGTAACAGTCAGTATGGGTTGGTACATACTGCAGTCACTGGGTTGAAAATAACAGAATATTTCTTTTAATGTTCTACACTCTTAAATAACTACTACATTCAGTAATTAACTTAACATGGTACTAAATGCCCTCAATATTACTACAGAACTGTCTCGAGAGCGAGAGACTCACGCAGTCCTCTGAACACGTCGCCCTCAGCATCAGCCAGGGTTTTTCCCTGCTCCAGGGTTATCAGCTTTGCCAGCTCTTTCTGAAACACAAATCAAATCACATATACAATTAGCAGGCAGTAGGGCAGAACGATTAATCAAAATAAAACTAAATCGCAGTATGGCATGGTGCATTCATCAAAATCGTTGGAATTTAATTAAATAAATATGCTCTGCATGTTTCAGAGCTCATGATCCAGTGTTTCAGAGTGGCTTAGTTAGCAGTAAATGCTGCTCCACATGAACTGCATCTGCTCTGAGTTTGGGTTGCATGTGTTATAAGTATTTACAAACCTGTTGCCAACCAAGGAGAAGCTAAAGGTCTCCCTGCAGTTTTCCAGCATAAAAAAAGCTTGATTCTTTAATTAAGACTAAAGAAATATATTGTAATTTTACAGTTGTCAACAATTATTGTTGTTGTCTTAAATGCTTGGTTTTATTATTTGACTGAAATAGTATTACAACAGAAATATTTTTATTCTACTATATATTTAAATGTATTGATGATAATTATAAAACAATATTTATAATAATAATAATGAAAATGATAAAATTATAATTATTATTATTTTACAAAACAATAATTAAAAAATAAAAAGCATTTTTAATCGCAACTGCAATTTTTAATAAACTGTTTTCCCCCAAAAAACTTAAGAGGCCCTAGTAGCCCTAGCTCTACCATTTAACTATTCACATTACAAATCAATCAAGGATATATTAAATCAACACTATCAGTAACCATTTGTATAATTATTAAACTGTAGTGTAGTTACTGAAAACAGGGTTCCCACAGCTTCTTGAAAAATCTGAAAGTTTACCATTGCCGTGAAATCCCAGTGAAAACCTTTTAAATGAAGATCTACCAGTGTTACAGTTAGTATCCATATTTAACAAGCACAAGAAGTGTGTAGAACGGGATCTAGTAAAATGAGACCTAAATTATGCTAATTTCAACCATAAAGTCTGGTGTTGATTGGAAGATGAACCAAAAAGCAAAACAAATGAGTTGAGGATGGGCAGCAGTAACTTACTATATTGTCTTTAATGAGCTGCTGATAGCGAAGGAAGATCTGCTGGCGGGCCAGGATGGAAGTTTCGGACCAGGTTTGGTACGCCCGTGAGCATGAGTCCACGGCGGCCAACATCTCCTCATGTGTGGCCTTTGGCACTCGACCAATGACCTCATTGGTGGCCTGAGGACAGCACATGCATTATAATTCAATCACAGAGACAGTTCATCTATAACTAATGGTTTGTAGCCTCGAATCTGCAAAGAACTGTTACAGTAGGTCACTTGTAAAAAAAAAAATTCTGATTGCTGACAATGGTTATACTTACTTGCTGTTAACATTAACTAAACATAAAAACACAGCCCAAACGATTCACCTACTTATAACAACATACTAAAAATGCATGCCAAAGCAACTTCAAAAATGCCCACCTTTTCCGTACCGAAAACCCAGACTGCTTTTAAACTACTCTAATGTGATATTAACCAGACTTCCTTAAATATAGAAAGCAAATAGAGCAAAGAAACAAACAAGCAATTATTATGGCATCTACTGTGCAAAGCAGATTACAGCAACGCACTAGAAACTGGTTAATCTTAATGTTTTCTTAATTGCTCCTTTTGCACATTGTTAACTGTACTAAACCATCAATAAGCAATCATTTTTAACAAGATCTTTTTTAAAGAACCAACAATATAAGTGAAGCTGTTGTATATACTGACTGATGGTATAACTAAAGAAAAGTAATGCAGGTGTTGTGTGTTTTCTACTCAGGTTGATTAGCACAAATCCCATGTGCTTAAACCACATTAATCTAATCGGTTTAACTTGGCCTATGTGTGGTCAATGAATGTAATCTGTTAAACTACGGTGCATTAAACAGTTAAACTGATGTCTGTTAGTACAGTATGAACTTACAGGATTGTGAATGTCCAACCATTCTGGACTCTTGGATTCTACAAACTTTCCATCAATGAACAACTTGGTGGTGGACTGAGAAAGGACAGAGAAAATTATGAAACATGAATGTAAACAGCAAACATAAAACACAACTCATTAACAATTATAACAATAAAAACTTTTTCAAGTGACTGATGAGATGATAGTTTGCATCTTAAGACTAGAATACCTAGCTTTTCTCCAGATTTTGAACCTGGTTTGCAGTCTGGACGAGTCAAAGTCTGCAAGTGCTTGATGCCTAGTGTTTTAAAATCTGTCATGTAGTGTATTCCAGTCTTTACTAAGACAACATTAGTGTTATTCCTCTTATAAGACTGAGCTAAAAGTCTAGAATGAATGAGGGATTTCTCTGGTCACTGCCAGATCGGAGTCATATACAGGTGCATCTCAATAAATTAGAATGTCATGGAAAAGTTCATTTATTTCAGTAATTCAACTCAAATTGTGAAACTCGTGTATTAAATAAATTCAGTGCACACAGACTGAAGTAGTTTAAGTCTTTGGTTCTTTTAATTGTGATGATTTTGGCTCACATTTAACAAAAACCCACCAATTCACTATCTCAACAAATTAGAATACTTCATAAGACCAATAAAAAAAACATTTTTAGTGAATTGTTGGGTACGAGGCAGTGGTGTTCTTCTGAAATGAGGAGGCAAAGTTTCATTTGATGTTTACATTTGTGTACAGGTTAAAGGTTTATGGAATTATATTTAAAATCAGCTGACGACCTAGAACAATTGGATATATAAGCAATATTTATACAAAGATCCTTGTCCGCTTGATTCTCATAATTCAGTACGAGGCAGTGGTGTTCTTCTGAAATGAGGAGGCAAAGTTTCATTTGATGTTTACATTTGTGTACAGGTTAAAGGTTTATGGAATGATATTTAAAATCAGCTGACGACCTATAGAACAATTGGATATATAAGCAATATTTATACAAAGATCCTTGTCCGCTTGATTCTCATAATCACTTAACCACTGTGCTTTTAAGAGTACAATGTTTTTCACATATTAGATAAACATTCTATTAACCCACTTATGTTTCTTTTGGCTTCAAACACCCTTAGCACAAATCAGCACAATACTTGTTCTCCAATACCTGATGAACTTACCACAGAGGAGGAGTAGCACATGCGTCCCACCTGAAGAGGAACCTGCAGAACAGGGCACAGGTACAATATTAAATGATCTCCGTTATTGTGTCCGGCCAGATCATTTCAATAGATATCAATCCGTATATTAAACCTAACGTAAAACTGCTGTGCACTTACATTTAACTTGGTTCGTAATCAGCATAGAGAGAAAATTAATGGGTTACATAGCCTTTGATCAAGGTACATATGAAAAAATCTTTAGATACAGAGAAGCTGCTTTTCTGATTGCATATACGACTCATTTGTTGCAAAAAAAATGTATTCGTGCATGAAGTTCAACGCTTTCTAGGACTCTGGTAGCACTTAGCGCGTTTGAACTTGACAAAAAAGTGTTGTAAAATGATAAAAGAACAAATGTGCTATAAGTGTGGTGATTAGGCTACAAACTCCTCGCAATTCTTACATCATCTTACAACCTATTTTTATAGTGTATTTTATATAGAGCTGCTTTCATGGTGGCTCGTGAGCAACATCTGCTCGTGCTGTTTGACCGTGAAGTTCATACTCTGACAACATGGCGTAACGTTAAACCCATACTACGTGTATGATTGTAGAATACAATGCTTTTTTGTTTCTTACCCTCTTCTTTACAAGGGAACGCATTAATGTCGCTGCCATGATGGAATTCGTAGGTTAATGTTGTATTCGCCCCCCTATAATGTGCGTTCAACCCGCGCCCTGCAGACGAAGCGCTTTCCTACTGTGACTTTAAGAATGGGCGGGACATCGTGTTCAAACAGCCAATCATGTGCTAAAGACAAATACTCCTCCAAATGCAGGCAATCTATTGGTTAGACCTGACAAATGATGGACCAATAGCAGTGCGTGCTTGTTGAAAGGCGTTTCTCTGATCATCATAAGCGAGAGATGTTGCTTAGGAAGTGATTGGGTATTAAACCTGTCAATTAGTAATTACAAAGACGGAAGACATGTGACAAATGTATGCTATATGACAAGAAAACCTTTAACGACGCATTTAATAATCGCCATTTTTGATGCAGTTACTTCTTACCATTTAGCTAAGTGAAGTATTTCCGGTTCTGATACAAAATCAAGTAAACTAACTGCTTTGAACTACAATGTTCTGAAGTCATCTTAGTGAATCATGTCAGCGAATCGATTCGTTCGAACGGCTCGATTCTATATAAAAATGATTCATTTGAGTCATTTTTAGTTGATTTTGATTTTTTTGTAAAACGGTTGTTTATTCGTTTTCGATTATATTAGATTGTGTCACGTGTTTTGTTTGTTTATTCAAACATTTTTGATAAAGTTATGGATAACAACAAAAATAAGAATATTATTATTTACAATACAATACAAAAATAATGTTATTTTTAAATATATTAACATTAATAATACCCAATATTGTTACAAACAGTATTGTTCCCACAATCTTTTATTCTGAAACAAACACATCTCAACCGGCTCGCGAATCGGTTCGACTGAATCTTCAACAAGAATCGGTTCATAAGAAGTTCTCTCTAGTAAACCGAGCATTACTACAATGCATAGTGAATAAGTCCATCTCAAACGAAATCCACTGTTCTCGGGGACAAACAGTCTAATATGAGTGCATCCGCTGCACGTGTAATCAAGGTAAATGCATAAATCATGTAATTGCAGATGAGAGATGATAGACATCTAAACGCACACACAAACGAAATCATTTCCCGATGTGTCTCCCGAAGTCCACTGAAGTTGCTTAGTCACGAGAAACTCAGCCAGGAGGAGGAATTTTGGTGGTACATCTCATTGGTTGAGCAAGTAGTGGGTTTTTCTTGTATAGTTTCAGTAGTAACTGGACTGCTATATGCATGCCATGGCGACGCAAGCAAAGGTTAAATATGTCGTTTCTTATCTTAAATGAAGTTATTGTTTGTAATGCATCATTTGACTGTTATATTGTCATGTTCTAGCCTGTTCTTTATGGATATTTTAGAAGTTCATGCTCTTGGAGAGTCCGGATAGGTGAGTCTTGAATGCATCAGTTCATTCTGTTTACCATCATCTATCTCGAGCAATATCATTTTGTTTTCTAATCAAATTTATTAAATGTGTTTAATATTTGCAGCGTTTGCATTGAAAGGCATTGAATATGAGCAAAAGCCAGTAAATCTCATCAAGGATGGTGGGCAACAGGTATATATGCAGAAGTCTCTGCACTAGATTGTCAATATTCATCTAGCCATGTCTATAACATTCCATGTTAACTCAATTATCTTTTTTCACAAGCTAACAGATCAGTTTAAGGCAATAAACCCAATGCAGCAAGTGCCTGCAGTCACCATTGATGGCATCACCTTGTCTCAGTCGGTAAGAACATGCATTCTGCTTTGTGGCTCACATAAATGAAATTATTTTATGTTTACAATGTTTTGTTATTTACCACAGTTGGCCATCATCCAGTACATTGAGGAAACTCGTCCAGAGCCCCGCCTCCTGCCAGCAGACCCAAAGCAGAGGGGTCAGGTCCGCATCGTCTGTGACATCATCGCGTCTGGAATCCAGCCCCTCCAGGTTTGACATGACATTGTGTTTATAGGTGCACAAAGTAACAATTTCAACTATAAAGAAGTTAGGAATGGTTTTAGGTGGGTCCAAGTCAAAAGAGCCCACCTCAAGTCTCTATAATGTTTCCATAAGTATCATGTCCAATCACATGGAAAAGTTACTAACACTTGTCCTCTACAAGCAAGAATGTCGCATTAGTGCTTTAAAGGAATATCAATAAAGCATTTCATTAAAGACCCCATTATTTTCAATAATGCTGTATTTCAGAATCTGTATGTGCTTCAGAAAATTGGAACAGAGAAGGTACAGTGGGCTCAACATTTCATCAACCGAGGATTCGAGGGTGAGTTTTTCCCATTAAGTTCTTTTCAAAGTAGTAACATCGTGTCATATAAACCCATCAGTTTAATTTTTATCTTTGATGCAGTTCTCAACACGTTCCCTTTCATGGGAACTTCGATCTGCGTCCTCTAGGGGTCGCTATGGAGAACGCCTCGTCGTGACCCGTGTCTGAAGCATACATTGAAAAAAAACACCAACAACACCAACAATTGGCCGGCGACAGCCATGACGTCACTACCGATGCGACTATAGTATAAATAGGCACCGGGAGAACACATCATCCTCTTCTTCGTCTTCACTGACTGTTTTGTTTGAAGCATGCAGTTCTGTGGTAAGAGCGATCTCTATTCATATCATTATGGCGAGCACTAGCAAAGCGTTTAGAGGTTGTGTGCATCCGTGTTGTTGTTTAACATCTGATGACACACACAATCTATGCGTTATTTGTTTGGGCGAAGAGCACGCACGCGATGTCTCCGAGGGGGCAATCGGCATGCACTGCGAGTGTTTTTTCCAAGGGAAAACCTCCGCTCTCGTTTGTCTCTTTTTTCAAGGAAAGAGGGGCAGCCATCTGCTTCCCGCGATTCAGGACCCGCTGCTGAGGCACGGAAGGGAATGAGCTCATGGGGATCGTAGGTGGATCTGGCCGATGAATTTGAGGGGGGTTTCCCTTTTGCGATCGTCGACTGTGCACGAGAGTGAGCCGCTGGAGGATGATGTTATTTCATTAACATTGTCTGATCCAGGGGCCAGTGCTCTGCTGGGTTCAGCCCAGCAAAAGCAGGAAATGTCTGAGGAGGGCAAAGAAGCTGAGGCTGAGCCTTCCCAATCCTCCTGCGCTGCGTATGATGAGCTTTTGAGAAGATTTCTCTATGGGTGAGACGTCCTCTCTTAAGACTCCCTCCTTGACATCTCGCTCTAATGCCAGGGTATACGCAGCAGCAGCAGGTCGGGCTGTTGCTTCATTGCACACGATGGTGATGCTCCAAGCATATCAGGCTGACCTGCTGAAAGACCTGGATAAAGGCGAGGGCCTTTCTCCTCATGAGGTAGCCAAGTGCGCCGCACCACGGATCTCACTCTCCGTGCTACTAAGCAGGCCGCCTCTGCTAGTGGCAGGTTCATGGCGGCTATGGTAGTGACGGAGGGACATCTGTGGGTGAACCTAGCAGATATCTGGGAAAAAAGAGAGGGGCTTTCTTCTCGATGCGCCAGTTTCGCCTTCCGTATTTTTGGTACCTCCGTTGAGATGGTGGTCGAGAAGTTCGGGGAGGCGAAGTTCTATGGCTTCATAGTGACCACCTTACTGATGGTCCGGACCAGAGGCTTCTTCGCACGGGGCTCCAACGCGGGAACCATGGTGGGTGAGTACGATCTATTTCTAAATATATATATATATATATATATATATATATGTGTGTATTTAATGCCCTGGTGGTTGTGTGTATAATCCTTCTGCTAGCTTTCTTTGCAGTGTTTCCCGGGACCTGTGTGTTTCTGTCCTTTTTCTAGGGTAGGTCATCGATGAGCACCCCGTCTACTTGGTTCAGAAACCGGGTGCTCGACTTGCAGTGTTTTATTTCACTCGTCGATATATGTCCAGACAGCACGATAAGCCGATAAACCGGTTTCATACTTCCTGGATTATGCGGCCATGTCACAGGCTTCTGCGGGAGCCTTCTTGATCATTAGGCACTGCAAAAATTTCCTGGACGTCCGGGCTGGGCTTATGCTTTCAGGCTGCCCTGTCTGGTCTACCGTATCTAGGTCGCCCTGAGGGGCCTCCCGATCACCATGATATCCCCTCTTGTGGAGGCATCGAGCAGGAAGTATAGGTGGCATTTGCGAGAACCTTCTTGTGTAATGCTGTCTCGGGCAGTGCTCCCCTCACCTTAGAGGGTTGTATTTTAGCTTGCCTCTCCTGTTTGGCTCAGTACTTCCGGGTATCTGTGAGCAGATGCTTGGGAAAACGCTTGAATCCATACTATGGTAAGTGCACACGTTAAGCCTTTGCGCACTTTCTAAAAATCCACATAAGTGGTAAGTATGCACGTTATGTTTTGCCCACTTTTCTGAAATCCTGTATAGTAAGCGTTATGCGTATTATTAGCCTTGTTCCCTTTCTCCGAGTTGGTTTAGACCCCGGTACCTTGGGCTCCTCTCAACTAGTGTGTCTCTGTCGACACACTCTGGAAGTATCGCTCCCCTCACTATTGAGGGTTATTGTGAGCATGGTGCTTTCTTTCGAGGGTTTAAGAGTTGGATTCCTTGCTCCATGTGCGGTTCTCGTGGTAGTGCTGAGTAGTGCTCCCCTTTTATCAAAGGGTTACCTATGAGCACGCTACTCCTTCTGAATTCTGAGTTTTCCTCTCACATGAGAGTTGAGTTCTCTGTTTTTCCCAGAGCACCTGGAACCAGCAGCATCAGGCGAACTAGGCCCTTCCTCTGCCTCT